TGACCAGGATTAGGAAACGAATGCTCCGGTGGTTTGGTCAAATGCAAAATACGAACGAAGAAAGAGTGACAAGTCTATGTTGCAGAAGTGAACGACAGAGTCGGGAAGGGACGCCCCAGGCGAATTTTTTTCGACTAAATTGGCGATATGTTAGTAGTAATAAAGAAAAGTGAGTTAGTATAATTACATACTGTGAGCTATTCCATTTTAGTTCTCAAATATGACAATTAATCTGTGACTTTTTGATTTGAAGATGGCGCAGATGTCCATGGGCAAAAAGATATCGCTGATGAAGCTAGATAGTAGCTACGGTAAGAGTTTTTACGTGGTAGAGCCGTGCTCCAGCTATAAACAGTGGTAGAGCCACGCGGCAGCTTTTGCTGTCGCACGGATGGGCCGGCCGAACCACGGTGGTACCACTACCAGAATACCAGCGTGAAGTAGACGTTTTCCTCTGCGTTGCGTTTGGTGAGTGCAGGTGGCCGGAGGCAAAATTCCCCCCGCCCACCGCCTTCAACATGTTAGCAGAATTAAACAAAAGATTACCCCAGGAAGATAACAGCACCCCTGGAGAATCCCTCGCTAAGCATCCACGACCAAACTACTCCACTCCTGAGCGTGGGTGCTCAGGCTGCCCCGGGTCAAGTGGCAAGTGGCGAAATTCCTCTCGCAACTGATACTGCTCGGGGCGAGCGGAGCAATAACACTAAGGTGACCCCTGTCACGCTATCCGTGAATTTTAGCCACATCAGGGGACTTCATTCCCACCATAATGCTGTCCATTACCATCTAGAGACGATGAAATACAGGTGTCCTCTCCGGCTGATTGTTTATATCTCTCCTGCCCCGGGTACAAATTAGAACACTCTATTGTCCCCGGGCTGGAGTTTGCGTATACTTTAGAGAGGACATCTGTTTTCGATGTCTCGGCAGTCTTGAAGTTACTGACCTGTTCATCGTATGGCTGCGCATAGACAGTATCGATCATTTCCACGTCTACGGGTGCTTCTATAGGTCCCATAGCGGTAATGCCGACAGAGACCGACTCGTTGACCACGTCCAAATGGCTGCAGACTCCGTGCGGTAACAGGTCCCATCCGCAGAGATCGTGATACTCGGTAATTATAACGCCCACCACGCTGAATAGCTTGGTTCTCGTTTAACCGATCATGCGGGTAGATCTGTGTATGACTTTGCCTTGGCATATGGTCTAACACAACTGGTTACTTTGCCTACGTGGATCCCAGATGTGAAGGATCATGTACCTTACCTGTGGGACCTTCTGCTGACCTCTCATCTGGACGGATGTCAGGTCTCCGTCGATGCCCCTCTGGGCTCTTCGGACCACTAATCAGCTGGAGTACGGTGCCACTCACGCTCCAATCGCAGATGCGATCTGCAGCTTGCCGCTACCTTTGGCACTAGTGGTCGGGTGAATGGGATCCGCCTCTAGGTCCTTCAAAAGCGTCATTGCCAAGGCAAGGTCTGAGCATATCGGCAGAATTGGCGAGAAGCTAGTTCGCCTTCCTTCGGGAACCCGTGCATTCTGGACGTCTGCAAGTCGAGTGGGCCTGACGGAGTCCCTCCCATCGTGCTGAAGACGTAAACCCCGGGGTAGACACCGGTCTCAACGCGTCCTTTCCGGTACTCCTACTCCCAAAGCGTAGTCGCGAATTAATGGAAGACAGTTTTTGTATACCCCATCCTTAAAAAAAGGCAACCGCTCAGACCCGTCCAACTACAGGCCTATCGCCATCACCTCCTTGTTCTCCAAAATAATGGAATCCATTATAAACTGCCAGCTCATGAGGTGCCTTGAGGATCACCAGCTGATTAGTGACCGCCAGTACGGTTTTCATAGGGCTCGACCAGCTGGTGGCCTTCTGCTCTACCTGACTCATAGATGGGTGGAGGCAGTAGAGTTCAAGGGGGAGGCATTGGCCGTTAGTTTGGACATAGCGAAGGCTATCTATCGGGTCTGGCACAAAGCGCTTCTTTCGAAGCTTCCTTCCTATGGGCTTCCAGTTTCCTTGCTGATCGGAGCATCAAGATCGTAGTAGACGGTACATGCTCTGATTTCAAGCCTATCAACGCAGGTTTTCCACAAGGCTCCGTGCTACCACCAACGCTCTTTCTCCTGTATATCAATGATATGTTGCAAATTGGTGACATTCATTGCTATGCAGACGACAGCACTGGTGATGCCTTATATATAGGCCGTGCCAATATTTCTCAGGAAAACGTCGCCGAGTACCGGTACAAACATGTGTGAAGTCGAGTCTTTGCTGAAAGTCTCGGATTGGAGGCCACTAAACCTATTCCAGTTCAATCACCAGAAGACCCAAGTTTGCGCGTTTACCGCTAAAAAGGACCCTTTTATCATATCGCGCCAGATTCAAGGTACTCCCCTTGCTGCCTCAGCTGGCATCGGAATCCTCGGCGTCGACATATCGAAAAGTGTGCAGTTTCGTGGCCACTTGGAAGCGAAGGCCAAATTGGCCTCTAAAAACTTAGCATGCTCAACAGAGCGAGACAGTATGTCATGCCGGCACATCGCTTGCAACTTTACAAAGCGTAAGTTCCTGCCTGCTTCACATGGAATACTGTTCTCATCTCTGGGCCGGGGCACCCCAGTGCCAGTTCCTTCCACTTGACCGCATCCAGCGCATTCGAATCGTCGACGACCGAGATTTTTCTGATCGGCTCTATGCACTGGCATTGCGTAGGGATTTTGCATCCCTTTGCATTTGCTATCGAATTTACCACGGGGAGTACTCTGAGAAATTGTCCGGATTAATTCCAGCCTTCAAATCCATCTGGACCATCTGGATGCTTGGCGGTCCACAACTGTACGTTTCACTAGGAGTTTTCTTCCTCGTACAACTTCTCTGTTGAATTGTTTACCACTGGTGATTTTTCCGGACCGATACGACTCAGACCTTTAAGAAAAAATGACAACAACAAGAGCTTTTATACCTTTCTAAAAGGTCAGTAATGCATCTGCAATTACCCTGGTGTTGCGGTTGTTCATGGGCGTTGGTAGTTACTTACCACCAGGTGAGCCGTATGCTCGTTTGCCCCCTCTTCTATAACAAAAACCATCAGGTGGACTGTGTGCTCGTTTGTCACCCTTATCCTATATAAAAATAAATAAATAGAGTAAAAACACAATTGGAGATATGGTATATTTGGGAGAAGAATTTATTAAAATATTCATATTTTAGTAGAACACCCCAAAAGCTAAGGCTAATGGTTGATTCCCTTAGCTGATAATGTTAATGATAAACACTATGAAATACGATGATTTTGACTTAACAGTGATTCAATTTGTTTCACTGCATGCTTTCGTTATAAATTTCTACTATATAATTCTAGATGAATATTCTGTTTGATAAGTTCTAAATGTTTATTTAATGGAACGAGATAAACAATTTTCTCCCTAATGTTGGTAAATAGGGACGCGATACGATGTAAAGTGATACTGAATTAAATCATGAATTCTCGCTTCTGAACGTAAAGTACCAACCGTTAAACTGGTATCAATGTTTTTCACAATATTTTTAATAACAATAAAATTATACTATTTTAAAACATAATATTTTAAAACATAAGCAATAGTATACTAATACAAAATAAAAATTTTTGCCCTGTAGTGGCAACATAGGAGAACCCACTACCGCATATCACCAGGTAAAAC